AGGCCTAATCTATGGGATCTTATTGGCCTAGTGGAGGTAATTGGCAGTAGGCGGTCTCTCAAGTACCGCTTTATAGCCCTCTCTAAGCGGTTTACAGAGTCAGCCTATTGCTCCTAACAGTTCAGGTCCTCATTTGACCCGGAAGGCTGAGTCAACCTTGAGCCGGGTGAGATTCGAACTGCCAGATCGCAGGCAGCCAGCAACCAGCAGAAGTAGCCTGCAGTACTGCACTTTCACCACTGCGCCACCATGGCTCATAAGTTCTATTTAGAAAGGACGTTTCCCTAGAGGGATTCCTTGAGTGATTGGGCAGCACTGCCGCATGGAGGGACGCCCAGGAGGCTGGCTTGGAAGCAGTAAGGGAGATTCTGTGGGAGGGGAGGCCGTCCATCTGCCTTGCCTTGCCTGACCCACACCTCCTCCCTGCCCCCCTCCTCCTCTCGCCCCAGCAGGGTTCTCTCCGAAGTGGATTTTGAGGAGCGCTTCGCCGAGCTGCCCGAGTTCAAGCCGGAAGAGGTCTTGCCTTCCCCTACGCTGCAGTCCCTTGCCACCTCTCCGCGGGCCATCCTGGGTAGCTACCGCAAGAAGCGCAAGAACTCCACCGGTGAGTGGGAAGGAGGCGGCCAGGGAAGCCCGTGAAGGTGGATGAGCCTTGGGAGAGAGGACAGATGTCTTTAGTCCTGCGGCTGACAAGTTTCTAGGCAACTCTACAACTCGAGGACCTAGATTTACTGCAAAGTGATTTGAAAGTTGTTTTTTTTTAAATACAACGTAGTGGAATGATTGAGTTAACCTGAAATAGACGGCTAAGTTTCTTGTTCACATGATTGGGGTAGTGCAGGAATTTGTTCACTTAATTGTATTTGTATCTTGCCTTTATTATTTTTACAAATACCTTAAGGCAGTGAGCATCTCCAACACACCTCCCTACTCCCTATTTTCCCCACAACAATGACTCTGTGAGGTTGGATGAGCGGAGAGGGAATGATTGGCACAAAGTCACCCAGTTAGTTTCCAGGCCTGAGGTTGGTCTAGAACTCACTGCCTCCTGGTGGTTGGGCCCAAAGCCACCCAGTCATCCTAAGCCAGGACTAGAACTCACAATCTACTACTAATTTCTAGGCCACCATCTTAACCACCGTGACCCGTCAAAACCGCGGTCCACAAAAGTGCGATCGACGAAAGCGCGCATGTGACGTCATCACAGCGCGACGAAAAAAA